GGGGGGGTTCCCGTCAGGCTCCACCACTTACCTGCTCTGTGGCCTTGGGCAAAATACCTAACCTCCCGGGGAGGGGTTAACTGGGCAAGTGACTTGAACGCAGTGCCTCACCTTCCTTTGCTTTTTTTATTGCTTTGCAAAACGGGCATAATAACGGGGCTTCCAGAGTAAATGCCTGCAAAGCACTCAGAACGGTTCTATGCACGAGGCATGTACGCGGCTAAATGCTAGTTGCTGGTCCGTTCATTCATCCGATCAACGTTTAGCCAGCACCCCGGTGCAGGGGGCCTGTGCTGAGTGCCGTGGTACAGCTGTGCAAACAGGCATTCCCTCTGCATCTCAGAGCTAGGGATAGACACAAACAAACCTAAACCCCAGTACAGCACAACCCGCTGTGAAGGGGTAAGGGCGGGGGGCTGCCTGGAGGAGGGCACCTCTAAGCTGAGTGGGGCAGACAGTGGCTTGTCCACGGCTGCATCCCAAGGGCCAGGCACAGGGCCTAGCGCACAGTAGGCACTCAACTGAGCTTTGGGACTTCCCACTCCTGCAAATCCTGGGTCAGTCCTGAGCAGCCCAGACAAGGGTGAGGCGGCCGGGACCAGCTGGGCCCCGGGGCTGTGGAGTGGCTGCTTCTCTGGGTGGACGCTAACCAAGGCTGCCGCCTTGACCCTTGACCTGCGTAGAGCCCAGCGTTCCCGCCAGAACCATCAGGGAGAAGGAAGGAGGACTCAGCCCCCCAGCCCAGGCCCCAGCCAACGCAAACACGGCCGCCCACTCGGCAGGAAGATGCAACGCAGCCAAAGCTCAGGAGACCCAGCGGGCTTCGGGGCTCCACAGCGGCCGGCAGGATCCTCCTGCCGTCCAGCCCCCACCCAGGCAGGCCCCTCTGTCTCCTTGTCGCCTCTGCTCCAGCCACCCAGTCTCCCGGCTGCCCCATGCTGTCCCCTTGACCTGAAACATCCTTTGCTCTTTTGTCAGCTCCTGCTACTCTTTAGATCTCAGTGGGGCCCGCTAACCATGTGTGTTCCCAGAGCATAAATCCTCATTCACGTCATCCTGGGCTTAACCTGTCTCCTGGCAGACCGCACCCCAAGGCCAGCAGGGCCGAGGCTCAGCTCAGGCTTCGGGCAGCCAGCTGAACCAAGGCACAGAGAAGGCCTGCACACGGCAGTCGGACCTTAGCCTGGGGAGGGGGCAGGAAAGAGCCCACCTGCCTTACCCGGCAACTACCTCCTCTCCAGGGCTTAGCGCTCACCTGCCTGGGGACTTGCGGGTTTTCCTGTCATTCCAGGAGATTCTCAGAAATCCAAAGAAGTGTTCAAGCAAGAAGGGAGGATCTCCCCACCCTCGCCAAAAGCCAAGGCTCAGACCAGCCTAACCCGGCAGCTTATCATTCCCAAGTGCAGCACCGTCTGGGCAAGACCCCAGAGCGTGCCAAGTACTGGCTGTGTGACCCTGTGCAGCTGGCTTTACTTCCAGAGCCTCAGTTTTCCTGCCTGTAAAAGAACTCAGGCCGGGTGGGAGCCCCCAGAATAGTGTCTCTCGTCCCTGCTGGCCATGCACCTCCCCCAGCCTGCCCGCTTCCCTGGGCCTCGGTGGAGGGCAAGGAGCCGCCAGACCCTGGTGCTGCCTTTCATCCCAGACAGGAAGGCTCAGCTTGGCGACTCCGGGATTTGGAACAGATGTCTGGGAGCTCACAGGGGGCTGGGAAAGCAGCGACCTCCATCCCCGGGCTGACCAGCCACCTCTCCCTCCCCTGCCCCTCACCCCACTCCCTCCAGGGGCCTCAGGCCAGAGCCAGCCACTCATTCTCCCCTCCCATGAGCCCCAAGGAGTGGGGGACCTGCCAAGGAGCCAGCAGAAGCGGCCTGAGGCCCAGGGGGAGAGGATGGGGGCCTCCTGGGAACACCGGACAACAACAGACCTCTTCTTCCCCCCATAGATATTATGCAATCCACAACTCAGCAGGGAGCAAACCAAAGCTGAATGGAACCCAAAGTGGGCTAAATGGGGCTGCTCTGGGTCTCTGGCGCCCCCGGTGCAGAAAGAGGGCCCAGGGTCAGGCCATCTTTTGGGAGCCAGCTCGGCAAGCATTTCCCAATCCCTGGGTAGAGGCCACCCCCAGGGGAACCTCAGCCCTGAGCTGTTCTCCGCAGAGTGGCCTTGGCCACACACAAGGACTGTCACAGCTCCCGTAAGCACGTGGCCAACCTGAGTTCACGGAGCTGCACAACTGGGGGGCGGTGGCCAGTCTCGACCCCATTTCACAGGGGAGGACGTGGAGGCACAAAGAGGTGGCAGCTTTGCCCAGTGAGTGGCTGAGCCATGCCTGCGTCCAAGGCTCATTTGGTGATTTCTACTCTGCTCTGTCTCTGGGGGCAGAGCAGGCCAACGAGATCCTGAGCTGGGTCCAGAAGCACAGGACAGAGGAGGGGACACCACCACCCATTCATTCTGGCTTCCTTTCTTTGTTCACACAGACATTCCAGAACTCCTCCCACATGTCTGGTGCCGCACAAAGTGACGGGAAGAACACTGGCTCAGGCTAAGGTGTGTGTGTGTGTGTGTGTGTGTGTGACTGTATGAGGGTGTGAGAGTTTGGGTGAGTGTGCAAGTGAGGGTGAATATGTGAGTGTAAGGAGATGTGTGTGAGGGTGAGTATGTGGGTGTGTGAGCATGTGGGTGAGTAGATGTGTGTGAGTACAAGCAGATGTGTGAGGGTGTGTGTGCCCATGAGTGTGGGTGTGGGAACGTGAGTAGATGTGAGTGTGTGTAGATGTGTGGAGGCGAGAATGAGTATGTGAGTGAATGTGTGCATGTGAGGGTGAGCATATGAGTGAGTGGATGTGTGTGAGTATGTATGAGTGTGTGGCAGAGCACATGAGTGTGAGTAGATGTGAGTGTATGAGTGTGAGTAGATTGTGTGGCTGAGCATATGAGGGTGAGTCGATGTGTGCAGACGTGAGTGTGTGGCTGAGCATACGAGTGTGAGTAGATGTGTGTGGATGTGAACGTGAGGGTCCCTGCTGCTAAGAGTCCTAGGCAGAGCTCAGCAAGGTCACCCAGCTAAGCACAGGGTCCCGCACACCAGCGCTCAGCAAATGGGAACTGCCCCCCAAACCCAGACCCATGATGCTTCCCCGCCCCTCCCACTTTGAGCCTGGGCTGAGCCTCTTGCCTGCCCCAGGGTTCCACTGACGCATCAGCCAAGCCCCCGCCCTCGGTCATGGAACAGCGTATCCCCCCACAGCCCCCACCCTGCCCCAGATTCCTTCCCCAGTGGTCTTGGGGTTCTGCCAGCCCCGTCCAGCCAGTTCCCCCAGACTCCCTCCCCACGGCGGTTTCCTGTCGCCCGCCCGGGGAGAGACCCCACCCCATCTAGCCGTCCTGATAGGCCAGTGAAGGTGACAAAACCCCAGGGAGCTGAGCTTCTTGGGGGTGACAGCCCACAACTGCTCTGCTGAGGGGCTCAGTGTCCCCACCCCCACCTCACTTCAATGTCATCTCCCAGTCCTCCCCCAAGTGCTATCACCCAAGGCTAGGAAGAGCCAATTCCATGGCTGGGTGGAGCTCGTGTGAAGGAATCTATGCTCCAACCTTGGATATACATGGATGTTCCTATCCAGTCATTTAGCAGCTGTGTGTCTTTGGGCAAAACACTTAACATTTCTGAGCCTCAATTTTCTCATCTGAGAACAGGGGATATGGTCCCATAACCCCTAATCCAAACTGCTTAGCTGTGGATGTGTTTTGGAATTCAGAATTTTTTAGAGTTTAGAGAGATGATGTAGTCCTTATACCATGGATTGTGTTAACACCCCCAGCTGGGATTGCCCCCACAGGCTGTACCTAAATGAGATTTCAGTAGCAAAATGTATGAATATTCACTCTAACTAGGATAAACAAGGTCTATAAATAGCCTCCGGTCGAGTTTAGCAGCCAAAATGAGTTACAAAAACACTTGATTTTTCAAAGTTTAGGGAGATTTCAAACCCACAGACAAGGGAGTGTGAACGGGTGGACCCCCTCCTCGGCCCCCCCCCACCAAAGGCTGCAGGGGATGCGACAGATAAGCCGAGCTAGTGCCTGGCGCATCTTGGGGCCCAGGGAGGACCTGGATTGGGCTGGACTTTGAAGGGGAAGGAGATACTCCCATTTCTAAACGTGAGTGAAGGGCTGGGTCCAGACTCAGGATGCCAAGACCAGGGATATTACGGGCAGGGGGTAGGGGAGGGAGGCGCGGGAGGGGCAGGGCGGCCATGCCATCAAGTCCAGCCACCCCACAGCAAGCTTCGCTCCTGCTCGAAGGCGGGGGGGGGGGGGGCGCTAAACCTTCCCGGAGGTGAATGCCTTGTCTTCTAGCCCCAAGAATACATCCAGGACTGCACACAGCCCCACGGATTCATGAGCCCCCAAAGTCGACCAGATGACCCACGATTAAGAGCTCCTGCCCTTCCCACAAAGCGCTGGGTCTAGGAGGGACCAACCGCTGCAGGGCACGGTCCTTGCATCCAGATCCACTGCTCTGTAAAGGGCTCCGGGGAGGCTTCCTGCCCCTGCCAGCCCCAAGGGGGCACCCATCGGTCCACCCTTCCAGTTACGGGGGTGGGGGTTGCACGGGCCCCGTTCCGTCTACAGCCAACCCAGGGCACGCAGCACCCCGACAAGCTGCGCTCCGGGGACGAGGCGGCGGCGGTGCCCGCGGGCCAGAGCCGGCGCTTACCCAGGCGGAGGGTGATGTTGACCGACGTGGGGTACTGCACGCCGAAGGCCATGGACGGGCTCTGCCACCACGTGCTGTCGTCCTGGCTGTGGAAGTCGGTGAGGTAGGAGGCGTCGTGGTGGCGCCGGGGGTCGGCGGCGTCGCAGCGCTGGCACTGCGCCCCCGCGCCCGGCGCGCCCACGTGCGGGCAGAAGTCCTCGGGCGGGCGGCCGCACGTGTGCGAGGCCTCGGCGCGCCGGCCGAACGCCGCGTTCTCGAACACCGGCAGGCAGCGCTGCGGCCGCCCCGCGTCGTCGTAGCACGCGCCCATGCCCGCGCCGGCCGCCCGCGGAGCCAGGAGCGCCAGGCCCAGCAGGAGCGCGGCCGCCGCCATGGCCCCTGGGCACCGACGCCCCGCTCTCTGGCGCTCGCCGCCCGTGCGCGCCCGGTTCTGCGCGGCCGGCTGGTTGGCGGTGGGCGCGGACCGGCGGGCGGGCCCCGAGACGGGGCGGGGCGGGGCGAGTGGGGAGGGGAGCGGTGGGGAGGGGACGGGGCGGGGGGGGCGGGGCGGGGGCGAGGGGGCGGGGCGGGGGCGAGGGGGCGGGGCGGGGGCGAAGGGGGCGGGGTGGGCGGCACCCCCTTTCCCCGCCCGCGGCCGCGCGGCCCCTGGGCGCTCACCCCCACCTGGTGGACGTGCCCGGGAGTGCCCCCCTGCCTCCGGGCCCTGCCGCGGGAGCCTGTTCTCCCCCAGCCTCAGCGTCCTCATCTGTAAAATGGGATTGGTAATGACGCCGGGTCATTTCCACTCTGTGAGGTGTCGGTGGCTGCTCAGAACGTGGGAACGGCTCACCAGGGTCTTGCCAGGCCTGAGGCAAAGGGTCTTTCTGCCTGGTCTTTCCCACGGCACATCTCCTCCTAGCGACAAAGTCACCCAAGGCAGATTGGTGGGGTGGCTCCTCGCGTTTCCGCCTCCCCATTAACTCTGAACAGTCCTCCCGCTGCTGACTTCTGTCTGCGCTCAAAGCAAAGAGATTCTAACCTGATATTTGTGACCAAGGGTACCTGGTCTCCTCACAGTGTCCCGTCAGAGAGGCCTTCCCTGCCCACCCCCTATTGCCCCCTTTTACTCTCCATTCACTAAAATTAGTAAATCAAGGGAGAAAAGCCCCACGCTTAGATCATTAGATGCCAGGGGAAACACTTGATGAAACTTAGCAGTCCTTCCAGAAAACGCTAAAGAAAATGGAAATAAATGGTCTGACACGCTAAGGACTGTTTCTCAGCTGCGGCCTCTGCAGCTAGGGTACCCAATGCAAACCAGGTCCTGCCTGTCGGATGTCCTCACTTGCGATTTGGAAAGCAGAAGTGGGCGGGAGCCATCTTCTGCCCTTCTGGTGGCCAGAGGGGTCACAGAGGAGGAGGTTTCCTGTAGCAACGTGCTTCCCGCATCCCACTCTGCAGGGCCGGAGAAGCCTTTGTGCGGCAGTGGCCCCAGCAGTGGTGTCTCGACTCCTATTTCTGGCCCCTAGATTTGCACTTAGAGGGGGAGCTCCCAGAGCCTCCGGCGGTGGCAGCTTCCCAGGTGGGTCAGTTCTGCAGTGTCCTAACTAACAGCCCTTCCAGTCCTTCCAGCCATCCCCTGAGCACTTTATTCCCTGCATTCAATCCTTCCTGTTGGAAATAGCTAGGCACCTGCCAAGTGCTTGGCCCAGAGCCCAGCATGGAGTGAGTGTGCGGTAAATTGCTATCACTATAATGAAGACACTTTCCTGCCCCCTCTGAGCCCTCCATCTGGTTGGAGAGGGAAGTCATGCATGCCTTGAGAAACAGCCTGATGACGGTGTTCCAAGACTTGTTCTCGCCTGGTTTATAAGACAGGTTGTGGCCCGTGTGTTTATAGTCATCTGTTCCTCAGCAAACATATACCGCTGCCTACTGTGTCCCCTGCACTGTGCTGGAGCAGGGACGCAGAGGAGAGTTAGACACCTCCCTCCCAATGCATCTATATGCACAGATGTCCGTGAACATCTTGGGGCTTGGGGTGTGGGTGCGGGTGGGTGGTGGCTAGCTCTGCCTAGAGTTGGAGTGTGCTTTCCAGAAGAGTTGACAAGTAGACAGAGTCATAAAGGATGAGTAGGGGAAAGGGGAGGAGGCACAGCATGTGCAAAGGCTCAGAGGTGACTGGGGAGGGCCAGTCTGTTGTGTGTTTGCAGCCCTGGGTGTGGGGTTGGTCCTGGGGGCTGAGGCAGGAGCAAGGTGCAGAGGCCAGATGATGTGGGGTGCGGGGCACTGCAGTGACGAGCTGGGACTTCAGCTTGCAGAGGGTCTGCAGAAGCTGAGGGTTCGTGGGAACAGGGACTTCATATGGCTCACCCTGGTGTCCCCAGGGCCTGCGCTGAGTGTAGTTCAGGGAATGTTTGGGGGATGAGCTGGAGCCACACGCCTGGCAAAGCTTGATCCTACAGGGACTGAGCAGGAGATGATGGCTCCTTCGAGAGGTGCCAGCTGGGTGTTCACCGACCTTGCCCAGCTCCTGGCAGCAGGGCCGTCCTGCCTCTGCTGGCGACCTCCGTCCCGCTCTCCTCCCAGGCTCCCACTTGCCTCCTGCTTTTCCAGATTCTCCCGCCTGAGCGCCACATCCAGCTGTTCATGTTCACCCAGGATCCACCGCCAGGTGGCGACATTGGCCACATTACGGGACTGGCCCCTCTCGCCCCCTGGCGGCCAAGGACACCTTGGACGGTGGTCCCTGTGCAGCCGGTGGCCCAGGGACCAGAGTAAAGTCACTGGGTCCAGGGCACTGGCCATACAAATGGGGAAACTGAGGCCCAGAGAGGGGAAGTGGTTTGCTGAAAACACATGCACAGCGGGACATGACCCGGTCCCTCCCATCCCAGAGCGGGAGTCAGGGAGGGACTGGAGTCTATAGATGCTGGGAAGCCGAGTGTGGCCCCCTAAGCATGGGGGTGTCTGGGCACCCACAAAGTCTCAGGATAACTCCCAAAATCTGCGTGACAGAGAGACAATGAACACCTCTGTGACCGCAGGAAAGGGGCCTGGAATGAGCAGAACTGTGGACATGACCATTTGGGACACTGGGCAACCAGAGGCCTGCTACCAGCCGTCCATCAAGAGAAGGCTCCGAGCGTTACCTCCCAGCCGGACTCACCACGATCTCAATAAAGGCAGCTGTGCCCTGCCATCAGGGGCCCCTCTGCACACCCATGACAGCAAACCAGTCTTTGCAGCCCACAGAAGCTATGGACCACCTAGCCTCAGTTTCCCTGCAGCCTAGAGCTTTAAGGCCCAATCCCACATTCTGCCCATGATCCTAACCCGTTGTCCTGGTGGTGGCAGGGAGCCCGGGAAAGCTCTTCAGCAGCAGAGTTGGGGTCAGTTTCCTTCAGGAAGATGGATGGGGATGGAATCCAGGGGGCCAGCCTGGAGGTGGTGTGGGAGGAGGGGCCAGTTTCTGTTTGTGGCTGATGGGGAGTATGCCTATGCTGGAGACCTGCGGAATCTCTGCGGAGGCCTGGCCTCCCGCTTGGGGCTGTGAGCAGAGGTGGCAGACTGCCCTCCCCCCCAGCCCACCTACCAAGGGTTAAAACCTTCCAGGCAAAGAAAGAAAGGAGAAGAACCCTGTTCTGATTTGCTTAATGAACGCTAATTAAAAAGACAGAAGATAGCAGATTCCTTCAGGACAAAGACGAAAGGCCTGTTAATTAAATCTGGGGAGATGGGGCCAGGACCCCGCTGATCCCACCTGACAGCTCCGCAGCCTCCTTGGAGCCCAGGGTTGGGGCACTAGCAGAAGGGGAAAAGCAGCCCCCTTCCCTGGCCTTGAGGCCCTGCCCTGGTAGTAACTTGGGTGGGCCCTGCCCCTCTGGGGTGCCTCCTTTTCCCTATCCAGAGAGCAAGAGCACTGGCCTAGGTGGTTTCCCATGACACCCTGTCTGGTTCCAAGGTTCTGCAAGTCTGCGCTCTCTGTCTGCATGCCTGGGCCTCAGTGTTTCCCTCTGTTAAGTGGGAAGGCTCTACCTGCTCAGCAGCCAGACAGACAAGGCATGAAGTCAGAATTGGGGGTCTGCCAAGGCTATATGGGGAACCAAGAAGTTTAGCAACTGGTTACAGCTGGCCCCCCGGGACCCTGCTGCCAGGCCGAAGCCTGTGCGTCTGCACTGTGATCACCCTCCGGGACACCATCCTATACCTCTGAACAAGGACAAGGTGGCCTTCACGGAGGCTTCCTGGGAGCCGGGCCCGGGCTGAGTGCATCACTTACTTGCACAGGTAAGTGTAGGCAGTGGATAGTCCATGAACTCATGGGGCTCCCCAAGGGATTAGGGAGACAGACAGTGACTCAGGAAACAAACTGATGAATTAAGCAGTGACAGGTCCCCAGTAAGAGCCACAAAGGAAAGAGATGAGGGGACGGGATGAACTCTGAGAGGGGAGAAGTTTAGTTCCGGCCATCGGGGAAGGCTTCTCGAAGGAGGTGACAGATCAGTGGAGACCTGCAAGATGAGATGGGAAGCAGGGGGGGAGGGAGTGCTCCTGCTGATGGAAGCTGACAGGGGGCCCCTCAGCTGTCGCCCTCACAGAGCATCCTCTCCCTGGAGTTAACAGGTTCAGACGGGCCGAGGGACATGGCTGGCCTCGGGCATGTCACCACTCAGTCTAGCAACTGTCTCACGACCCCGCCCCCCACGCTGTGCCCAGCCAGGGCCCAGGATGAGTCAGCCCTAGGTCCCCTTCAAATGGAGGAGTCTCAGGAAGACAACGAATGCCCTTTTTCTGGGTGGTCTGGGGACCAGAGGCTGGGCTGCAGAGGATGCCCCGTGGACAGACATTTACTGGGTCCACACGCCAAGCCCTGGGGACGGAATGACGAGTGATAGCAAAACTGTCCCTGCACTGGGGGGACCCAGATGATAAACCGGTGATTACAACACAGGGCAGCCAGTTAAGCCCTGGGTGGGAGAGGCCAGGGAAGGCTTTCTGGAGGAGGTGGGGTCTCAGCTGAGAGCTAGAAAGGAGACGGCCAGGAAAAGGGGGTGGGGATGAGCATTCCAGGAAAGCGAACAGAGTACGAAAGGCTCAGAGGCAAAACCGTGAAGAACTGAAGGAAGCTCAGAGTGGCTGGGAGTTTGAGAAGAGGCAAGGTGGGGTGGCCGAGGTGGGAGCTGGGGAGCGGTGCCGCGTGTCCTGCTGAAGAGCCCATGCGGGCCCCTGTGGGAAGATTTCGGCAGGTATGAGATGGAGCAGGTTTGGTTTTGGAAAGTCCTCCCTGGCTGCAGCAGGTCGTGTAGCGTGGGCTGCAGGGGTGGGCATGGAAGCGCAAATGGTCTGGAAGCTTCTGTAGGAGGCAGGGAAGAGAGGGTGGCAGCCTGGACA